TGGAGAATTCCATATTTTATCAGTACGATATGCCACTTGTTACTGAGTTGTACTGGTTTTGGAGAATTCCACCTTTTATCAGTACGATATGCCACTTGTTACTGAGTTGTACTGGTTTTGGAGAATTCCATGTTTTATCAATACGATATGCCAGTTGTCACTGAGTTATACTGGTTTTGGAGAATTTCATCAGTACCCTGGACAAAGACAAATCAAAGAAATAAAATCAAACTTCCTATATTGAGAAATATATATTAAATATATGTTGTTTTGAGATATATTTTTTACTCATTCTAGGGATCGTTTATTTTTTATAGGATTTCAGAAAATGCAGAATTGATGCTACTAACTTATTCTTCTGAATTATTCAGCTAAATTATTTATAATACTAAAAAACTCAATGTGAAGCCCAATTTATCATTTGATTACATTTTGTCACATAATTATAGTGGTTTCCCGGAATTCCACTCATCAGTAACTCTAAATAAGGGCAATTTTAAGAAATAAATCCTATTAAATGTGGAATCACTGTGGGAGTAAAAAACGTTTTAAAATGTCATATATTTGACCAAAAGGTTTGTCTACACAACAAAATGACATCAAGAAGCACCAGCTACACTCATTTATTTTTTAACTTGATGATGATAATAATAATTACTTTGCCTTCATTTTTTAAACAGCAGAAAAATTAGTGTCTTCACATGCTTTATAAAGACTTACTCCAGGGGCTGAAGGGGCTTGTTATTTCTAGGACTCCAAAATCATCTGATTCAGGTGCATTATATAAACTATAATCAGGAAATGTGCCAATAATGGATATTTTTCACAAACAACTAATCTACTATATTTGACAACAGTATTTTACCCTTCTGTAGTTGTATATTTTTCATGGCATTTTATTACAATGGCTTCATTCTTTGGACAATGGTGTATGGATAGTGTGATTGATTGTCTGGTTGATATTTGATTTATGAGATATTCTGGTTTCTATCATTTAATTATTCTAATAACATTTGAAGAAGTGATCTTCTTTTTTATTTCTTTAAACCATTCTGGATTTTTTATTGACCTACAGTTGAATTCATAATTTCATTTTGTTTTTCATATGTCAGTAAGGCTAATTGATTGATATTTTGAAATGTTTTTATTATCTGCAGTGGTAGTGGTTACATTATGTATTTCTGGTTTCTTTGATATTTCTTAGCATCCCCTTTATTTATATTAATTGCTAGAACAACTTTATTGTATTTCAAGATGTGATTTTTTTCCTCTTATAAATCAGAAATTAGCATATTATGTGCTTCAACATGCAGTTTTTGTTATTCTGTTTTTCTATGATCAAACATGTGAAGTATAGGAGGTCTTGAATTTTTTTATGTCTTTCTTTATCAGTCATGCTGTAACTTAAGTTCTTGTAACAGTTGAAATACTTGATTTTCATTTTATTTTCTTTGGACAATCCACTGGTGTGGAAGATCTGTTAGCCTGAAATCATTTTCTAAAACTTTTTGTTTCTTCTCATTGAGGTATGCAATTCAAAATAATGGACTCGTTTTATGGTTCATGAAGACCGATACAAATAGTGTTATTTATCAGATATTATACAGTTACTACACACAATTATTTTATTGAGTGTTGTTCATTAATTACAATATTATTGTCACACACATTAGTTCTCAAACTTAGCATTACAACAGGAGGATAACTTGTCTTCATTGTAATACAGTATATTCAACCATTATATTCACCAAGAAGACAAATGATTCACAAAAGAATTTTAATTAAAACTTGAATATGAACTAACCATACCAAGTGCTTGTAGTACATGTCCTTCTCCAGAATTTCAAGATAGTACCTATTTGCAGTAAACTTATTTGAGCAGCTGGTATAGTAATTGGAATAATTTTGAAAAGATGTCCATAGAAAAATTGAAGTATGGACCAGAGAGAGTGTGTGTGTGTGTCACAGAAACCAGCAAGAAGCATATACTTTGTTGCAAGTACATTTGGAGGATCTCGCAGAATTCAAGAATTTTTTACAGATGTCTCTGTTGACATATGAATATTTTTTGACTCAACTGAGTCTGATCATCCCTTGAATATTTTTGTTAGGAAAAAGAATCAATCATTTGCAAAGTTTTCTTGTGTATTCAGTTTAAAGTAGCAATATTTCATGTTTAGCAAAAGTTAAATGAAAGAAGGTGATTAGAAAATACAATATCATTGGCTGAACACACAAAGACTTGTAGAAAAATTAACTGAATTTCTTAAAATAAGGCAATGGTCTATTCCAGCAACCTGATTGCCAGATGAAAATAAGTTGACAATTAGTGACACATTGTAAATGTTTATTGTTGAATCGAGTTGCCAAGAAAAAAAGTGCTCGTGTATCTCTGTCCTAAAGCTCAGTAACTCAAAAGCATATAAAGGTGTGTGGCTGATATTTCTGTATGTAAACATTGAAGAAAAAATTTAACCTAGAGTAAGTTGTATGTTACATTGACTTCTAGCATGTAATGAAACCACCTTGAACAAAATATTTTTATTCTTCTTAATTAAACCAGATCTAAACATCAACAAAAAATTTACCATATCTGCAATAGTAGAGGTAGTCATCGTTTCCTCAATCACCAGGATAATATTTTTAACATTCTGATTTTAATCCTACTATAGACACTTGCATGAGCTTTGAATATTTTACTTCATCACCAAGGAAACTATCAAAAGCTGATTTTGTTGCACCACTTGAAGTCTGATGTAAACAACTCAAAACGAAACCATCAGTTGTAAATCTAATATGCCTAGTCAGTCTTTTTTCCCAGATTTAGGTATCCTGCTAAACTTCACATTGCTTTTCACATTTCAGATTACATTTATGAATTTAGTTCTCATATTTTTTCATTTTAACAGGTTTCTTCTATGTTGGAATTTAAAAAAAAACAAAGATATAGTTGTCTTATGTCCTGACAAAGGAAATTATGGCATGGTACTGAATAAGGTTGTGTCTTTGGAGTTGCACCATAGTCTTACTTATAACTCATAAAGGAGGTACCCCTCAAGATCTGTGTTTTCAAATCTAAAAACTTTCAATAACAATATAACAAGTTATTGTAAATAAATTTCTTACTGACTTTCTCAAAGCACACACTTAATAACATCCCCAAGTTATGAAAGTTTAAATAAGTCTAAAGTTTGATCATGAGGTTTTCATGGCTACCTCTCTATAGACTTAGCTACAGATTTAGTCTTCCAAAATGCATGTCATTTCAAACTTTTGTTGATGACTCATTTTTAATTTTCCAAAATCATGTTCACGCTCGTCCTTTTTTTGATCATCTAAATTCAAAGCATCCAAACATAAAGTTCACATATGAATTTGTAAACCAAAAAAACCCTTCCATTCCTTGAAATGCTAATTACAAGGTGTGGTAACTGTTTTACTATTTGTTGTTGTGTTTACAGGCTTATTCTCGAATTTTCAAAGTTTTGTTCCTCAATTCTTTAACCACCTTAATTACTCAAGAAAGCATATAAAATTGCCAATTTTACCTTTACTTTAAGCTCAGAATTAACTAATATAAGAAAGACTATTGTGAAATGAACACCCTTTCCAGCTTGTTGATATATTAATCAAGATCTTGTTGTAACTTAAAAACTAAAAGGAGCAAATCAACCCCTGGGGAATGTATGAATGTATCCGTTTCTTTGATTTATATTTGTGAATTCTTGAATCAAAGTATTATAAACCCTACAAACTGATTTTTCTTATTTCACTAGATGTCATTCTTTCAAACAAATTCTAGTTAATAAATCTGTTCAAGGTTTGAAAATGTAGTGTTCAATGATTCATGTTCATTCATTTTTGTAACAGTTAAGTTTCATTTATTAACTTTTGAATTACCTTTTAAGCTTTCAGTGAGCAGGAGTTAGAAAAAAAGAAGGTAGTTCATTAAGGATCTAAAACCAAACAAAATGGAAAATATTGTGGAATTTGTTTGTATAGGACTTTGCCCAGAAATTGGTTTGGACAAAGAGCTAAAGATATGACTATTTCATTATATTTTGTCAAGTCTAAGATTACCATTTTGCATGTAGTACTCCCTTGCCAGTACTGAAATGCATCTTATTAAAAAAATGCTAAGATGTTTTTATGATGACTGAACCTTTTATTTTATTTTTTGTCTAGTCTGTGCTCTTGATATACTATTATGTTGGTATTACATGTACTTTAGTTTTGAGTACATATGTTGAGAGAGTTAAGCTTTGCAGCAATAGTTCTCTGTGTAGCACCATTTCACACTGATCATTATGAAGTTTCATTCTTGATGCTTGCTCACATTCTTGCTTCCTTATTTGTTTTTAGCAGTGTATTTAAGGATGGCTTTACAACTGTAAATGCAGTGCTGAGATTTTAAGGTTCACCCATTGAATTAATAATGTTGTAAACCCTGAAGCAGAATGTATTGCTGCAGAGGAACTGGTAAAATATGTATTCATATTTATGTTAGCCTAAAAACTGAATAAAATTATATTCATTTAGAAGGAGAGCTTAACTTACAATATTAAGAAAGAAGTCAACATGAGGTCTTTTGTGGACAAAGAATCGGACAGGATGTCTGTCTATTGTAACCTGTAAAAAAAGTAAAAAAAATTCTTTATACATGTAGGTTCACAATGACAAGAATACTAGTAATGTTGGAATGTTACTATAAAGTTATGTTGAATGGTGTAATTTTGATTATATATATGAAGAAACAAATAAAAGCATTTACTCTTCATTATTCAGGATTTATGTCATCTCATAAAATAATTGTAACTTTGTTAATTTTACAAATTTTTTGACATTGTTAAGAAAATTTGTCATCCATTTTCAGTTAGATATGAGTCACTAAATGTTTCTTAAAAAGAAACAAAAAAGCAGGTTCTGCATATCATAATTAAATAAACTGTAATATAAAGTACAATGGGAACAACACAAGATCATGTATTACTAAGCATTATGCAATTTTCTTGGTCTTTTCAGATTTGCATGTATAAGAAGATTATACTATTTCTTTAAACATAATATTACAAGATTTGTACCTCTTTTTAGTTTGAAATTTAAAGATATTCGGGCTCAGTCAATTTGACTGGCCATGTGACCTCTTTTTACTTGTTTAAAGTCTTTATAGATTTAATACTTCGAACTTTCAATATAGTATGTATATCTTAAGAAAATTTGACAGTTTTAAACATACAAAAAATCATATTTTTAGTGAAGTATTTTTAATAAACTAAAATAAAGATTTGTCTATAAAATATATTGAGTATTTATTTTGAATGGACTGTGTGCAAAGTGATTTTTGTGTTAAGATTAAAAATACTTTTCTTCATCTCAAAAATCTCAAATTTCATTTGTGTGTAATCTCTGAAACCTAATAAATACATTTCAAATGTTTGTTTTCAGTAAAACTTATCTCTTATTTTCTGCACCCTAACTCTACACAAGGTTGGTCAACTTGACTGACCTCGTAACCACCTGTTACGACAGCGGGGGTCACGTGACGCTGGTAACATGTCATATTCTCGAAGGTTCCTGAATGCTCTAGCGTTTACTAGATTTCGGTATTCTTTTATACATAAGACGTGACGGCAACAATGTAATGTGTAATTGAACTGCGGACAGAGAGAGAATATTGTTGAGTCAAGCACATGAGATGTTCGTTGTGAATTAAAGCGTTTGTTATAGCGTGACTGTGGAAATTAAGTGTATTGCAAAATTGTATTTAGAAAGAATAAACCAGTTTCATTTAAGAAAGGACTTGTATCGGTAAAGTTTCTTCGAAAAGAAATTAAACGGAAAATTAACTAACGACCAGAGACGTAACACACCAAAAAAAAATCTAAATAAATCTCAATTACCCACTTTTTCTTTCCAGAATGACTTCAAATGTAGCGTGAAACTACAGTTGTTTATCTTATAACAGTATACATCTATTTATAATTAAATTTCATTGTTTTATTGCCCTTTGAACCATGACTAACTACTATCCGCACCATTATAAGTTGTAAATCAATCAGGAAACATGCAGCTCACATTACACTATCAAATTACATTACCCACAAGCTACTCGTCTGCATGCCTTGTGAAAAATTTTTATTATATTATTATTTATTTTACCTTATCTAATCATAATTAACCTAAAAAGATCCCAATTTTTCCATTGTAGTTACTTTTATAATAATAAATACAGAATAAATATGAAAAACAAGAAATAAAGTACTTACTCATTTCTTCTTTTTTCTTTCTGTGGATTGTTGATGGCACTTAACCCTACTATTTTTATACTGTTTGTAGTAATGCACTAAATAAATATTTAATTAAATAATGCACCAAAGAACATAGACTAATAAT